TTAGACTTACTGAAGCTGAAAGCGGAGCACCCGCATGGTAAAATCATTGTTGGCAACACGGAAGTTGGTGTTGAAATGAAATTTAAGCAGTTTCTATACACCGTACACATCAACCCCATAAAGGTACCGGAGTTGAATGAGATAAGAGAATTAGAGGGTAGCATTTTATTTGGTTCGGCCGTTACCTTAATGGACATTGATGAGTACTTACGCGAACTTATAGAAAAATTGCCGGAGCACGAAACACGTTTCTTCCGTTGTGCTGTAAAAATGTTGCATTACTTCGCGGGCAAACAGATACGGAACGTGGCATCGCTCGGCGGAAACATCATGACTGGAAGTCCGATCTCCGATATGAACCCTATTTTGACTGCAGCGTGTGCCAAGCTTAAAGTGTGTAGTTTAGTTGATGGGAAAGTAGAAACTCGATATGTGTATATGGGTCCTGGATTCTTTACTGGATATCGCAAGAATACAATTCTGCCCCATGAAGTATTGGTGGGTATATACTTTCCGAAAAGCTCAAAAGATCAGCACTTTGTGGCATTTAAGCAAGCGCGCCGTAGAGATGATGATATTGCAATCGTGAATGCTGTTATAAATGTGACCTTCGAACCAAATAACAATATAATCCAACAAATTCATATGGCTTTTGGCGGTATGGCGCCCACAACGATCATGGCACCGAAAACATCACAAATCATGGCAAAACAAAAATGGAATCGGGTATTAGTCGAACGTGTGACTGAAAGCTTATGTGCCGAATTGCCATTGGCTCCATCTGCACCGGGTGGTATGATCGCCTATCGTCGTTCATTAGTAGTTAGTTTATTCTTTAAGGCATATTTAGCCATAAGTCAAGAACTAATTAAATCTGGTATCATTGAGGATGATACAATACCAGAGAGAGAGCTAAGCGGCGCTGATACCTTCCACACACCGATTTTGAAGAGCGCGCAGCTCTTTGAGAGGGTATGTGTCGAACAACCAACATGTGATCCCATCGGTAGACCAAAGGTACACGCATCTGCGCTGAAACAGGCAACAGGTGAAGCAATTTACTGCGATGACATCCCGCGTCATGAAAATGAATTGTATCTCGCACTTGTACTTAGTACCAAAGCACACGCAAAGATTACATCTGTTGATGCCAGCGACGCGCTCAAACAGCAGGGTGTACACGCATTTTATTCCAGCAAAGATTTGAGTGAATACGAAAATAAGGTTGGTACCGTGTTTCACGATGAGGAAGTCTTTGCTTCGGAAGTCGTTTATTGCCAGGGGCAGGTGATCGGTGCAATTGTCGCGGATAGTCAAGTTTTGGCACAACGTGCGGCGCGTCTCGTGCATATCAAGTACGAGGAGCTAACACCCATAATTGTAACAATTGAACAGGCCATCGCACATAAATCATATTTTCCCAATTATCCACAATATATTGAAAAGGGTGATGTGCAAAAAGGTTTCGAGCAGGCTGACCACGTTTATGAAGGTAGCTGCCGGATGGGTGGTCAAGAACATTTCTATTTGGAAACGCACGCTTGTGTGGCAACGCCGCGAGATAGTGATGAAATTGAATTATTTTGTTCAACCCAAAATCCCACGGAAATACAAAAACTAGTGGCTCATGTGTTATCTGTGCCGTGGCACAAGGTGGTATGCCGATCTAAACGCTTGGGTGGTGGGTTTGGTGGCAAAGAGTCGCGCTCAATTATCTTAGCACTTCCAGTTGCATTAGCCAGTTATCGTCTCAGAAGACCGGTGCGCTGCATGCTTGATCGGGATGAAGATATGATGACAACCGGCACAAGACATCCTTTTCTCTTTAAATACAAAATTGGCTTTACCAAAGAAGGTCTGATAACGGCATGTGACATTGAGTGCTATACTAATGCCGGCTGTACAATGGATCTCTCTTTTTCCGTAATTTCTCTCCACTTGCGGATTTTACTACATTACTAAAGCCATTTTCTTTTCTTTAGGTTCTTGATCGTGCTATGAATCATTTCGAGAATTGTTATCGCATACCAAATGTCAAAGTTGGTGGTTGGGTCTGCAAAACGAATTTACCATCCAATACAGCGTTTAGAGGATTTGGCGGTCCTCAGGGCATGTTTGCAGCTGAGCATATAGTACGCGATGTGGCGCGTATAGTTGGCAAAGATTACTTGGATGTTATGCAGTTGAATTTTTATAAAACTGGTGATTATACACACTACAATCAAAAGTTGGAAAACTTTCCCATTGAAAAGTAAGTACATAGGTCTCACTCAAACCTTTTGACGATTTGAAATTAACTTCTTACTTTTCCTAAAGGTGTTTCAGAGATTGCTTAGATCAGTCGAAATTCCACGAGAAACGTGCAGAAATAGCAGAATTCAACAAAAGCAATCGGTGGCGCAAGCGCGGTATCTCTCTGGTGCCCACCAAATATGGTATTGCTTTTGGTGCCATGCATCTGAATCAAGCCGGTGCCCTAGTAAATATATATGGTGATGGGTCGGTATTGCTTTCGCATGGCGGCGTCGAGATCGGACAGGGTCTACACACGAAAATGATACAATGCTGCGCGCGAGCGTTAGCCATACCACCGGAGCTAATTCATATTGCCGAAACGGCAACCGACAAGGTACCAAACACATCACCAACGGCAGCTAGTGTAGGTTCAGATATAAATGGTATGGCTGTATTGAATGCCTGTGAGAAGCTAAATGAGCGTCTGAAACCAATTAAGGACGCCAATCCGAAAGATACGTGGCAAGAATGGATCAGTAAAGCATATTTTGCGCGAATAGGGCTCTCAGCAAGTGGATTCTATAAAATGCTCGATGTTGGTGACGATCCAAAGACAAATCCAAATGCGCGTTGTTATAATTATTATACCAATGGTGTTGGAGTATCAGTGGTTGAAATTGATTGCTTAACCGGTGATCATCAAGTGTTGAGCACAGACATCGTCATGGATATTGGCTCTAGTTTGAATCCAGCTATCGATATTGGACAGATCGAAGGCGCATTTATGCAAGGTTATGGCTTATTTGTATTGGAAGAACTTATTTATTCGCCGCAAGGTGCGCTTTATTCGCGCGGACCTGGCATGTATAAACTACCAGGATTCGCTGACATACCAAGCGAGTTCAATGTGAGCCTTTTAACTGGTGCGCCTAATCCTAGAGCTGTTTATTCTTCAAAGGTACTAATTGTTCATATACATATGTATATCTGATTATAACAAATACTTCTTAAAAATATATATTAATATAACTCTTATGTAGGCCGTTGGAGAGCCACCATTATTCATAGGAAGTACTGCATTTTTCGCGATTAAGGAAGCAATTGCAGCTGCACGCGTTGAAAGACGGTTAAACGGACACTTCGTACTCCACGCCCCAGCGACGGCTGCTCGTATACGAATGGCATGTCAAGACGAATTTACCGAATTGGTATAAATAAATTACAGTTTCGTCACATCTGATATTTTGTTTTTTAATGTTTTTTCCACTTTTATCTTTAGATTGATCAACCGACCCCTGAAACTTACACACCTTGGAATGTTGTGCCCTAAACTTAATATAACTTACTCTTGTTTTAAGTTAGAATATTAACAACAGTTGAAGTTAGATTTCATACTTGTAATCAAATCTTTAATATTTGCGTAGAGCTATCAGTAAATATTTATACTGGAGCTGTAATTAAACAATATAATTTGGTTCTATCATATAATATATCACGATAATATTAATAAAACTTACACATGTAAATTATATGTGCAATACAATTCACTAAATTGCAGATTTGTTTAAGGATTAACTAATATTGAAAACAACAATATAGTTATAGCTGAAGACAAATACGAGAAAATAGCTCGTAATCGTTATACCGGTATACATTTGTATGTGCAAATATACATATGTATGTATACACAAACAAGAAAAAACATTATCTATCTATATCATCTCTACCGATGCGACAATACTCTTCACAGATGCACCTTGAAAAATATTATATTTTTTACCTTGAAAAACCTAGTTCGCTTATAAATATACAGACGGACATAATTAAATTGGCTCCGCTCATCACATCATCAAGAGCACATCACGTATGTAGATACTTATGTAGCTTCGACCGTTATCCACATCCAGAAATTCAGACTTTAACGTAATTTTGTTTTCTAAAATTAATAAAGTACTACAAACCTGAGTTAAGGATTGAATTCCAAATATTATTTTATTCTTCAACTGGTTTTTTAACCACTAATATCAAGATCCAATTCTACTTGAAATATTTAATCTCGCACCATGTGGCATGACTCCTTTTTTAGTTAACATTCCATAAAGTTAGAAAATGCAATATTTGTTCACTAAGATTTAAATTTAAAGACACAATTTTATATAGCTTGCTTCAAATTTCGGTTTAATGCATCAGCGGAAATCGGCGGACTACGGTAAAAATGACAGATGACATTCAACACAATCAAAACTTCCCCACTTGATAAAAAAAATCTGCTCCCAACTTCCCCTTCCTTTGGTTTACATTTCATAATTATCGAATATAGTCTCCGTCAAATTAGATCAAGTGTCAAGTCTTATAAAATTTGTGTAAATTATTGACATTTTAGTGAAAACTTATAGTGCCTGAATAAGAACGAAAACATTTATCACCTACTTATACAAATATGGAAGTAATTTTCCGTAATTATTAAATCTATTTAGTAATATGTAGATGTTGACTCTACTTGATATCCTCTTAAATTTCTGGTAGTTAGTACAGACGTAGAACACAATTATATAACCTACTTCTTTACATACACAACTTTTAATTTTTGAAAGGTCATCATGTAAAATATTTTTGTTCATAATAGTTATAAAACTACAAAAACAAAAACACATATTTTTAAACATTTGAATAGCGGTCGGCTTTATTTAAATTAAGCTTGCATCATAAAATTACCAAAATTGCGCTAACATAACTTAAGTATTAATCAAACATTCAAGCATACATATATGTACAAAACTTTAATAATTTATAACGAACTTAAATAATCTACTTTAGGAACTTTCAGTCTTTTATAAATTGGTTCTAATTGCTATAATACTTTTTCATAATATRAGCGACTTATATTTAGTCAACTTCCTCGACTGTTGGTCCACCGTAATTACCAGGTTGTGGTTGTGAACTAGCACCTCCTGTTTGCTGGTGCATCTTTGTCATAATTGGACTACATATTTTCGTTAGCTCCTCCAACTTATACTCGAACTCCTCTTTTTCGGCGGTGGTATTACTATCAAGCCATTTAATCGTCTCTTTRCACTTCTCCAGTACTCGATCCTTATCTGATTGACTTAATTTGCTTCCCGCTTCGTCAGCTGCTTGTTTTACACCAAACACATAACTTTCAAGTTGATTGCGGGCAGTTATTCGTTGACGGTGTTTATCATCTTCCTCGGCATATTTTTCCGCTTCATTTACCATACGATCGATGTCTGCTTGTGAAAGTCGYCCCTTATCGTTCTTTATGGTTATATTCTTAGCATTGCCGGTGCTCATTTCCTTTGCCGTCACATTTAAAATTCCATTAGCATCCAAATCGAAAGTTACATCTACYTTGGGTACTCCTCGCGGAGCTGGTGGAATCCCAGTTAAATTGAATGTGCCCAGCAAGTTGTTGTCTTTGGTCATGGCACGTTCACCTTCAAACACCTGAATGGTAACAGCTGGTTGGTTATCTGCATATGTCGTRAAGGTTTTTGACTGTTTGCATGGAATACGACTGTTCCGCTCAATCAATTTGGTCATCACTCCACCCGCGGTCTCAATTCCAAGTGATAATGGTGCCACGTCAACCAAGAGGACATCTTGAATTGCACTGCTCTTATCACCACTCAGAATGGCTGCTTGAATTGCTGCACCGTATGCTACCGCCTCATCTGGATTGATAGAAAGGTTTAAAGTCTTTCCACCGAAGAATGTTTGTAGCAAGTTTTGGACTTTAGGAATTCGAGTTGAACCACCAACAAGRACAATATCGTGGATTTGGCTTTTGTCCATTTTGGCATCGTTYAAAGCCTTYTCYACTGGATCTAGTGTACTGCGGAACAAATCACCACACATTTCCTCAAACCGTGCTCGGCTAATTTTTGTGTAGAAATCTACTCCTTCATATAGAGCATCAATCTCGATAGAGGCTTCAGTGCTGGATGACAGTGTACGTTTCGCACGCTCTGCTGCTGTTCTTAATCGTCGCAACGCTCGAGGATTCGACCGTAAATCCTTTTTATATTTACGTTTGAACTCTTCTGCAAAGTGGTTTACCAATCGATTGTCGAAGTCTTCTCCACCCAAGTGAGTATCACCMGCTGTCGCCCGCACTTCAAATAGTGAGCCTTCATCAATAGTTAAAATGGAAACATCGAAAGTACCACCGCCCAAATCAAATATRAGCACATTGCGTTCGCCTTTAAGGTTTTTATCSAGACCATAAGCTAAAGCTGCTGCTGTTGGTTCATTAATAATTCGAAGAACATTCAATCCCGCAATGGCACCAGCATCTTTGGTGGCCTGMCGCTGYGAGTCGTTGAAATAAGCCGGCACTGTGATAACGGCATCTTTTACAGATGTACCCAAATACGCCTCTGCAGTTTCTTTCATTTTTGTCAGCACCATTGAACTTATTTCTTCAGGGGCAAACTTTTTCTGTTCTCCTTTGAATTCAACACTTAACTTGGGCTTTCCACAATCGTTAACCACTGTAAAAGGCCAATGCTTCATGTCCGCCTGGATTTTCGGATCATCATACTTTCGTCCAATTAATCGTTTGGCATCAAACACTGTGTTCTTTGGGTTCATGGCAACTTGATTCTTCGCAGCGTCACCAATAAGCCGCTCCGAGTCTGTGAACGCCACATAGCTGGGTGTTGTGCGATTACCTTGATCGTTCGCTATGATTTCCACTTTTCCGTGTTGGAATACTCCTACACACGAGTATGTTGTTCCCAAATCTATCCCAATTGCAACCATTTTAATTGCTTTCTTGTACTATTTAATATTTCACTTAAACTTATTTATTATTAACTCTCAATAATATTCTTAAATTGCTTCTTATGCACTTGGTAAAAAGATATTTGTATTGCGTTTTGTTTTGCTAAATGACTTTAGCTAAGTTTGTTTTGTTTATTCGCTTTGACTTTTCAATTGAATCTATGCGAAGGAGAGATTTTTGGCCGGTATTTATATGAAGTCAGTCGGAGAGAGAATTTTCGAGAACAGATTTCTTGACATTTCTCGAAATGTCTATGAGCTGTTCGCTTAAAATGCGACAGCTGWTGTCAAAAGGGTGCAATTATTGGGAAGAGAAAAAATAGAAACTGTTCTCAAAAAGTTGGAGAGGACTATCTCCTCCTCTTTTCAATCGGGAACGCTTATTCAAATATATGTATGTATGTACAAATGTACTTTTGGGAAATGAGAATTATCTATGGAGGAAGTCTAAACACCATTCGCTACTCGCAATTGAGAAAAACGATACGCGTTGCAAAATATTAATATTAAAAACGAATCTAGAAAATTGTAGTTAATTCTTAAGATTTTATTTATTTTATTTTAATATATATTTATTCGCAATCTATCAAATGACAATCAGCAAATTTTTTAAATACATTAATAGTGACAGGATTGATTGTTCTCCATTGAGACTAATCAATATAATTCGTAAATTATTTATTTGCTTAAACTTCTTAAAACTACTTAAAATCTATATGGAAGATCCAAAATGTGAGTTCGTTTTAAACGTCTAACATCCATTCTGTTGTCTAGTAAACTTATTGCCAGTAAGTTTTCATGATTAGACAATTTATCCAAATACTTTCGACAAGATTTGCTGATTTCGTCTTTAACAAAAGGTATACATATTTAAGTCTTTATGGATTTCGAAGTTGCTCACAAACCAAGGAGCGCTTACAATGCTTCTTAAAGTTTTCGATTGATATCTTTGGAGGATTTCAATGTTAGATATACTCGCCGTACCCCATAACTGCATTGTATACGTCCATATTGGCTTAAGCATTGACTAATAATAATATTAAGATTTTATTGACGCGTCTAAAACTACATACACAATTGTTCACAAGAATAAAACCCTTTAGGTAGTGACATTGCTGAAAAAACGATTTAACGTAAGCCGTATGCAAAATAGTTGAAATGTACAACTATTGTCTGTTGAATCTCTCTGAGAGTTCGAGTCTACCATTTATTGGTTGTTTCTAACAGTTAATAAGGAGAGCATGAAAGAGTAGTTCTCTCATAAAATTATTAGTAGGAGATAAATTTATGAATGAAATAAGTGTTTCTCTATGCTATTATATCATTTACTACTTAAACGTATTGCTACGTAAAAACTCATTATTTTTTTATATAAAGTTCTTGGAATTCATTGATTGTCAAATTTGAAAGCTAGAAAGCTATTGACTGTTTGGTGAATTTCGATTATAGCACCATACTCTACCGGCGAATGATAACAAAATTATACTATATGATGTAAATCAGTTCAGAAGTTATGTCCATCATCGGAAATATCCGATTAAAACTGTTAAATAAATGTTAGTATGATAATTCTATAATATAATAGGTCGATTATGTAAATCTGTTGAAATGTATATAAATGTATATATATTTAGTAATGTTGATTTATACCAAATGGAAAGGGCCTTCTGCATCAAGATAATGATCCGCAACATACATATGTATGTAATTTTCCAAAAACTAATAATTAATAGTCCTATTCCACTTTATTTTATAAAATTTGTTCCATTCAGAATCAGCCTTTTGTTCTTAGTTGAACTACTTACTGTCTGAAAATATGAAATGTAAACATACTTATAGCACAATAAGAGCATAGCTAAGTTAACTCCCGCGTTCCGCAATTGTTATGTAGCTTTGTAATTACGGTAGGTCAACGGTTTTAATTCAAAACATAAAGCTGCATATAAATTAAAAAAACAAATTATTCATTAAGTTTAATTGTATTTATTAATAAACATTTCTACATTATTTATTCCTCGCATCGTAACTATATTTAAATAAATGTGATTGAACTTTTGTCTGTTTATTTGTTTAGATTATATAGCTAATGTTGAATTTAAATATAACATTTTTCGTACTGATACTCTCCGTTCTCATTTCCCAAAAATACATTTGTACATACATACATATATTTGCATAAGCGTTCCCGATTCAAAAGAGGAGGAGATAGTCCTCTCCAACTTGAGAACAGTTTATATTTTTTCTCTTCCCAATAATTGCACTCTTTTGACATCAGCTGTCGCATTTTAAACGAACAGGTCATAGACATTTCGAGAAATGTCAAGAAATCTGTTCTCGAAAATTCTCTCTCCGACTGACTTCATATAAATACCGGCCAAAAATCTCTCCTTCGCATAGATTCAATTGAAAAGTCAAAGCGAATAAACAAAACAAACTTAGCTAAAGTCATTTAGCAAAACAAAACGGAATACAAATAACTTTTTACCAAGTGCATAAGAATCAATTTAAGAATATTATTGAGTGTTAATAATAAATAAATTTAATTGAAATATTAAAAAGTAMAAGAAAGCAATTACAATGGTTGCAATTGGAATAGATTTGGGAACAACATACTCGTGTGTAGGAGTATTCCAACACGGAAAAGTGGAAATCATAGCGAACGATCAAGGTAATCGCACAACACCCAGCTATGTGGCGTTCACAGACTCGGAGCGGCTTATTGGTGACGCTGCGAAGAATCAAGTTGCCATGAACCCAAAGAACACAGTGTTTGATGCCAAACGATTAATTGGACGAAAGTATGATGATCMGAAAATCCAGGCGGACATGAAGCATTGGCCTTTTACAGTGGTTAACGATTGTGGAAAGCCCAAGTTAAGTGTTGAATTCAAAGGAGAACAGAAAAAGTTTGCCCCTGAAGAAATAAGTTCAATGGTGCTGACAAAAATGAAAGAAACTGCAGAGGCGTATTTGGGTAMATCTGTAAAAGATGCYGTTATCACAGTGCCGGCTTATTTCAACGACTCACAGCGGCAGGCCACCAAAGATGCTGGTGCCATTGCTGGATTGAATGTTCTTCGAATTATTAATGAACCAACAGCAGCAGCTTTAGCTTATGGTCTGGATAAAAACCTTAAAGGCGAACGCAATGTGCTCATATTCGATTTGGGCGGTGGTACTTTCGATGTTTCCATTTTAACTATTGATGAAGGCTCACTATTTGAAGTGCGGGCGACAGCKGGTGATACTCACTTGGGTGGAGAAGACTTCGACAATCGATTGGTAAACCACTTTGCAGAAGAGTTCAAACGTAAATATAAAAAGGATTTACGGTCGAATCCTCGAGCGGTGAGACGATTAAGAACAGCAGCAGAGCGTGCGAAACGTACACTGTCRTCCAGCACTGAAGCCTCTATCGAGATTGATGCTCTATATGAAGGAGTAGATTTCTACACAAAAATTAGCCGAGCACGGTTTGAGGAAATGTGTGGTGATTTGTTCCGCAGTACACTAGATCCAGTRGARAAGGCTTTGAACGATGCCAAAATGGACAAAAGCCAAATCCACGATATTGTCCTTGTTGGTGGTTCAACTCGAATTCCTAAAGTCCAAAACTTGCTACAAACATTCTTCGGTGGAAAGACTTTAAACCTTTCTATCAATCCAGATGAGGCGGTAGCATACGGTGCAGCAATTCAAGCAGCCATTCTGAGTGGTGATAAGAGCAGTGCAATTCAAGATGTCCTCTTGGTTGACGTGGCACCATTATCACTTGGAATTGAGACCGCGGGTGGAGTGATGACCAAATTGATTGAGCGGAACAGTCGTATTCCATGCAAACAGTCAAAAACCTT